TCCAAATCATCCTAAATATAATTAGGCTGGGAATATTTTTTTTTCCTGAAGAAAAACAGTCTAAGGGCAAATCCCCTATCTCCATTAAAAGTTGTGGGAAAATTCTCCCCTGGCTTCGCTGCCATTAGGTTTTCTTTTTTGCTCTTCCCAATTTCAGATTGGAAAGTCAGCAAAGTGAGATGTCTCTCTCTCTCTCTCTCTCTCTCTCTCTCTCTCTCTGTGTGTGTCTGCATTATTGCGCGAAAGTGTGGAATTGTAAGTTCTCTCCTCCACTGCCACTGTGGAGGCTGTCCTTTTAAAAAAAGGGGGGGTGTTTACACTAAAAATGAAAGTGCTTAAGTACTAGTTGTCTGTAAGCGACAACACACCAAGCTCAACAGCACAGAATCCAAAGACCACTCTTGTGAACCCAACAGCCATTTTATAATTATTTTGGAGGCACTGGCATTAGAGCCAAACTAGATGCTAAATGAAATGCATCATTAGAAACTACATCAGGTTTAAAATGGAGCAAAATAACAAGTCTGGTTTTTAACTGGGACCACAGTGCATCGGGGGGAGGTGCGAGTTGTAACAGCCATGAACCCCACCCTCACTCCAAATTCTAAGAGCATGGTGCTCTTAGCCTTAGGAGCATGGCAGGTGATCTTGTTTATGAGTGGAAAGGGACTTATTTGCTGTCCCATCTAGTTTGGACCTCAGCCAGCCCAATATTCTGCATATTAGGCCCTTAGGCAGGAAGCCTGTAAATGACTCTATAAAATGATGTTACAATCTTAATGCTATTTCTGTGGACACTGTATTAAATTTGATCTAATAATTTAAAAGGAAGGAAGGAAGGAAGGAAGGAAGGAAGGAAGGAAGGAAGGAGAAATGACCGTGCTGTAAAATCTGGACTCCCTCCATCTGAATTCTGGTGTACATATGTGAATAAATCACATTTCTTAAAGCTTATCACCGCTTCCACCATGTCTCCAATTCTCCAAAGGAGCATAGACCTTGGTTGAGGGCCACAAATCGGCAGAGATTGGGGTGACCAGTAACAGTATGCATTCACATTAAGCGTCTCTTGGCTTGGCAAAGACAAGCAGGCAGGAACTTGTGTTTACTACAGGAGAAGAAGATATCTGCCTATCTGAGATAGTTCCCCTGACCTACCACAAAATGCACCCAGCTGTTTGCTGATTGCAAAAGCCCAACTGCCCGATATTTCACTTCAACTTAAGTTGCAAGAGATCTGCTTGGATATATGAAACTCCAAGAACCCATGTCCCTTTAGACCTACATTTATAAACTACATTAGCCACAAAACTTATTTAGGTGCTGGATTGCAGCGATGGCAGCCAGCTTGTTGTTGTTTAGTCGTTTAGTCGTGTCCGACTCTTCGTGACCCCATGGATCAGAGCACGCCAGGCACTCCTGTCTTCCACTGCCTCCCGCAGTTTGGTCAAACTCATGCTGGTAACTTCGAGAACACTGTCCAACCATCTCGTCCTCTGTCGTCCCCTTCTCCTTGTGCCCTCCATCTTTCCCAATATCAGGGTCTTTTCCAGGGAGTCTTCTCTTCTCATGAGGTGGCCAAAGTATTGGAGCTTCACCTTCAGGATCTGTCCTTCCAGTGAGCACTCAGGGCTGATTTCCTTAAGAATGGATAGGTTTGATCTTCTTGCAGTCCATGGGACTCTCAAGAGTCTCCTCCAGCACCATAATTCAAAAGCATCAATTCTTCGGTGATCAGCCTTCTTTATGGTCCAGCTCTCACTTCCATACATCGGCAGCCAGCTTGGAAGCCTTTAAAGGGGGATTCGTGGAGAATAAGACTATCAATGGCAACTAGTAGCCACAATGGCTATGTTCCACGAGGGGCATTCATTAAAGATTTCCCCTGATGTACTTCCCGTGGACTGAGACAAACGAAACTGGGCACAGTTATTAGTCCTTCTCTACATAGCTACCCGCAAGAGTCAAACACTTCTCCCATTGCTTTACACAGCTGTGGAGACCTCATCTGTAGAAGTCAGCAGGTTGCATCAGAAGCCACGACTTGAACTCAGAAATCAGCATTTTGTCGTCTGGAAAAAGCTTGCCCTTCAAAAATAACTTCATGGCTGGAAAGAGGTAGAAGTCCGATGGTGCAAAGTCGGGAGAATAAGGGGGTTGAGGAAGGATTTCATAGCCACAGGACTGTGCTTCCATCTGAGCAACATGCAAATTGTGAACCGGGTCATTATCCTGCAGAAGGAGGACACCTTTGGTCCGCATACCATGCCTTATGATTTTGATGGCCTTTCACAATTTCTGCAACAGTGAAGCGTAGTATGTCCCGGTAACTGTGGTACCCTGTGCCAGAAAATCCATCATCACTACTCCGCACTGGTCCTTAAAGGCCATAAGCATGATTTGCTCGCTGACTGTTGAACACGTGCCTACTTTGGAGGTGGTGAGGCAGAGTGCTTGCATTGTTTGGACTGGGATTTAGTCTCTGGGTCATAAAGATGGACCCATGTTTCGTCCTGAGTAATTAGTCTGGCGAAGAAGTCATAATGGTTTTTGTGACACATGGCCAAAAGAGCCCATGAGCATGTGACTCGTTCCTGCTTCTGGAAAGGCATCAGCAGCCGGGGAACCCACCTTCCAGACACCTTTCCCATGTGCAAATGGTCATGGATGATTTTTTCTACAGAGCCCACACTGATCTTGACATCTGCAGCTAGTTGGCGAACAGTTACGGGGCGATCCTCCAAAATGGCGGCCTCCACTTGGTGGATGGTGTCTTCTTCAATGGTGGACTGGTTGCCCAGGAATGGGAGCCATTCCACTGAAGTCTGACCACTTAAACTGACAATGGCAGTGCTTGACTACGTCGTACGGGGGTCCTCCTCCCCATAAGTCCCTTTCATCTCATCGAACGTCTCCCATGGTGTGCACCCCTTCAAGTACAGGAACCTGATGACCACTCTGCATTCACCTGGTTCCAATATCAGATGTTACTCCATGTTAGCACCCATAACAGAGAAACTGTTAGGAGTTCAGAGCTACAAATTACCATGTTACCTATGGAGAGATGTGGAGAGATAAATGTGCAGTTTCATCCTCCTACAATAACTGGAAGTGGATCAGGGGAAATCTTTAATGAGCGACCCTTCTACCTCAGCAGCTGGAGGCAATGAACCTCTGTGCGCCAGTTGCTGTGTACACATGTGGAGAGAGAGGGGTGTTGGACTGAGGTCCTGCTTGCAAGTTTCCCACAATCCACTGTGACAGCAGGGTGCTGGTGTTGACCTATAAAGCTTCACACAGCTCAGGATCTCAATACCTTATTGATTGAACCAACCTGGACCCTGCTCCTGTCATCTAAGGCCCTTCTCTATGTCCCCCATCCCAGAGAGGTTCGGGGGTGGCAACAAGAGAACGGGCCTTTTCTGTGTTGGCTCCCCAATTGTGAAATGCAGACCCTCCAAATGTCCCTATTTTCCAGGGACAATCCCAGATTTACAGAAGCCATCCCAGTTTCTGATTTGATCCCAAAATGCCCCGCTTTTCCTTAGGATGTCCCTATTTTCATCAGAGAAATGTTGGAGGGTATGGAGTTATGCAACTCCTGAGCCAAGCAAATAAGTAACTATACTACCTTTAGAAGACTTCTGAATGCAGTCCTGTATAGGGAAGTTTTTTAATGTTTAACATTTTATTATGTTTTTATAGGTGTTGAAAGCCGCCCACAGTGCCAACCCAGTCAGATGGAGGTATTATTATTATTATTATTATTATTATTATTATTATTAAATAGGACATCCCTATTTTCATCAGAGAGCATGGAAATGCTCCCCCAAGAGAGGCTAGCCTGGTGCCATCACTACATATCTTTAGGCAACAGGCGAAAACATTCCTCTTCACTCAGTCCTATGGCTATTAAATAATCTATGGCCTGTGAAAGTGAGGGAGAGGACAGTTATTATGATGACTATTTTATTATTAGGCTTATGCTTTGTATTATGTTTTTATCATTGATGTTCTGTAATGTGTTTTTAAATATATAAATTGAAATCATCATCATCATCATTATAACAGATAGGCCTTGGGCCTGATCTAGAATGTCTCTTCTTATTAAGTGTTAGACAGAAGGTAGGAAAGGAACAAGAATTTCAGCTTTCCATGCATGTTCTTTGAACAAGACTTTCAGCTTTTCATGCATGTTCTTTGAATATCCATCTAAATCAGGTTTTAATAACGCCAATGAATGGGTGCAGTTCAGCCAAGAACATACTTTGCTATCTCCCCTTGGGAATCCATGGAACTTAAATTGCTTGATGAGATGCCACCTAATATTTACACCAATATTAACTGAGACATACGCCCCTGCTGGAGGGTCATTCTTTTGCAGGTGGGATCCAGCCACATACCAGCAAATTTAGTGCAGCATTGTCAAGCTCCATTCAGTCACTTTTTGCAAGGCATTCACAATGCCACCATCCAGTCATTCTCATCCTATATTTTTTTGTGGTTCTTTCATCTTTTCTCAGCAGAATTGAAAAGGACTGCAAGCTCTATAGGTGTAGGTGCCTTTAGCACAGCACTTCTCTTAAAATAAAAAAAGGTAGGGAAAAGGTTACATGAACAGTGATATACTGTAAAGAGAACCAGTGCACAGTCGTTCCATCATTTCATAGAACCATCGAATTGTAGAGTTGGAAGGGACCATGAAGAAGAAGAAGAAGAGTTTGGATTTGATATCCCACTTTATCACTACCAGTAGGAGTCTCAAAGCGGCTAACATTCTCCTTTACCTTTCCTTCCCCACAACAAACACTCTGTGCGGTGAGTGAGGCTGAGAGACTTCAAAGAAGTGTGACTAGCCCAAGGTCACCCAGCAGCTGCATGTGGAGGAGCAGAGACGCAAACTTGGTTTACCAGATTACGAGTCCACCGCTCTTAACCACTACACCACACTGGCTCTCATGAGGGTCATCTAGTCCAGCCCCTATAACGCAGGCATATTTAGCCCAACATGGGAATTGAACCCACAACCCTGAGGTTAAGAGTCTCATGCGCTACTGACTGAGCTGTTCCAGGACTTTGATTCCTTTAAAAGCAAAGGCAGAGTCATAAAATGACACCCACTTCCAAAGGTTACAGGAAATGTGGGGACAAAACACAGAAAAAGCACAGTACCTCTAACAGTGTAGAAAGTGAATTGAAGCTTACATTGAAAGAACAATGACTAGGGATGGATCTACACAAAACACTATAAATAAGTCATAAATTAAATTGTTATAAGAAAAGCGGGGGAAACCCCTATGTAAAATCGCATAGAAAAGCGCTGTGCTCTACAGCGCTCTCTAGTGTTGCATGTTCATAACACATTTAAAAAACGCTGTTTTTTGACTTATGTAGCTGAGTCCTAGGAAACACTAGAGGTCACCCATCTGGAAGCAGTCGTCTTCCAATTGTTCCAAACAGAACCAGGCAATCATATTTAGAAGTGGGAATTGGCATAGCAGGTTGACAACAAATGGCAGTCCCTGGGAATTCTCTTGCTCAGATTTCACCTCAGCCTTGAGAGTGGACTAAAGCGAGCCACTCTCTTTCCCTCCATTGGAAATATGGAAAATGAGAGCAATAAAGGATTGTGGTTTGTAATCCATGTTAGTCATATCCAGAGCAGGCCCAGTGGAATTAATGGACAGGACTGGTGTGTCAGAAAGCAGGGGAAGTAGACAGGTAGGAACTGGCTGAAAGCAGACTGAGGTAAAATGTACAAACCAAAGGACATTGCGTGAAATAAGATGTTGAACACACAAAACGAGCACTTTTCCTACACAATACAGAACTAAACTCGTAAAACAAGACCAGAACGAGCGGTTGTCATGCTTTGCTCTCCCCGCTCTTTATAGCATGGGGTAATTTAAAGCGATTGACATTTGCCTTCAGACGTATTCGGTTCACGATAAAAATCTAGCATCAAAACCTTCAGCAGTCACAATCAGATTGTTGCAACTTAAAAATAGAACCAGGGTTGATTTGTATTAACTGTATGTAAGGCCACTTAAGACTCTCATAGCCACTCTTAGGTGAAGCAATGGCGTCCAGCTCCTTTGCATGACGTGTGGTGGAAAGAAGCTTGGTAAAAATGAGTGGGTGGGTGTGATTTGGTTATCACCTCTTATATATTATATTATACAGGGGTACCTTGGGTTAAGAACTTAATTTGTTCTGGAGGTCCGTTCTTAACCTGAAACTGTTCTTAAGCTGAGGTACCACTTTAGCTAATGGGGCCTCCCACTGCCGCCGCCACATGATTTCTGTTCTCATCCTGAAGCTAAGTTCTTAACCTGAGGTACTATTTCTAGGTTAGCGGAGTCTGTAACCTGAAGCATCTGTAACCCGAGGTACCACTGTATATTTTTATATATATACAGTGGTACCTCGGGTTACATACGCTTCAAATTACAGATGCTTCAGGTTACAGACTCCGCTAACCCAGAAATAGTACCTCGGGTTAAGAACTTTGCTTCAGGATGAGAACAGAAATCGTGCTCTGGCAGTGCGGCGCCAGCAGGAAGCGCCATTAGCTAAAGTGGTGCTTCAGGTTAAGAACAGTTTCAGGTTAAGAACGGACCTCCAGAACGAATTAAGTACGTAACCAGAGGTACCACTTTGTATTATACCGTGTGTGTGTGTTAATTTTTAAAAGGCATTAATCAGTGTACATAAAACATCATAAAACAATCTGCCCTACTGAAAGATTGGCTCCACACAGATGTGGAATGAACATTACATGGCAGTTTCACAAATTGAAGCCATTGAGTAGGCACCTATAGGGCAAGGTGACTCTCCAGGTTAACTGGCCTCAAGCTGTCAAGTGCTCTAAATAAAAAATAGTAAACACTGAACTTGGCATAGTAAACCTCTGCCTTTTGTCACGAAACTGTATCTGATTGAGGACTACAGGCAAACAGGAGCTGAAGCGCTTGGACAGGCCAGGTATTTAAATAACTCTGCACTGCCCTCTGGAGGGATGTCTCTGAGAATGTTGCTGATGTCTTTAAATAGATGTGCATCCTCTGCATTGCTCCTCAGAAGTAAAGCCAAGGGCTTCTTCTTTCTTTCTTTTGGGCCAATTGATTTTACTGATTTTCTGTAATTTTTAACAAATTGTCACCCAATTAGTACCAATCAGCCAGGACTCAGCACTGTCACCTGTCAGGCGGGCGCCATTGCCATTTGTTCATGGTGAGATCCTGCACCTCTTTTTCTAAAAAATAACACTCCAGAAGTCAGTTCTGGCTGAAGCTTTAAAACAGCAGCAGCAACAACAACAACAGTAGTCAAATAATTATTTGTACTAAACCTAGTAACAGATTAATGCATGAATTTATTAATAATTTATTGATAAATAAATTTCCCCTCAAGAATTTTTGTTTTTAATGGAAGCGTCTCAGATTATTATTTTTTACATAAGGGGACCCACATTTAAGTGACTTAAAATCTCACTTTAGGTGAAATTGCAGAGGGAGGGAGGCAAGTACAAAGCCATCGTGTCCCTGCTTGTGACTACCGTCCCAAAGAAAGGGTGTGCAATATTACCACTTTAGAACCTAGGATTTGTTTCTAAAAAGCGAGAGTCCTTCTAGCCAGAGACAGAAACCAGTGCCCTGAGTCTAGGTATTTTGGTTGAATTTGCACTTGCTCACGAAACGGGGGACGGGGACGACGGCCCTGAATATGCACAGAGTACTCTCAAACTGATATTGAAGGTGGCTGACAAATAAAAAGAAGCGTATAAAAAATCGAAGCAAACCACCATTTTTTTAAAAAGTCAGTAGATAGAAAATATTGAGCATGAATGAACTAATGAATCTTTATTTGTGTCAGACATCGGCCGTAGCAATAAAACAACAATACGATGTGCAAAGAATAAAAATTAAAAGTCAATTATATAAAATACATTTTAGGGTTTCGAATTAATAGTCAAACAGTGGGTCTTATTCTGATTTCATCAGCTAAAAACCTTTCAACCTTTGCTCTCACCTGCTCATCTTGACCTGCCAAGAGAAAGGACACTGTGGCAGTGGTTGGGCTACCCATAATGGACAATAAAAGAGGGATGGTAATCTCATTCCTCAAGTCTTTGTAGAGAGTGCAAGCCAGAAGGGCATGCGCCACCCATTCGGTACTGCCATCTCCACAGGGACATAAGCATTTTTCGTGTGGAATCTGTTGGAATCATCCCTCAAGTACAGCCGAGGGTAATACCTCATGCTTTCTACTCATTCCACTCATCCTTGAGTAAGGACTATTGATATTCCCAAATATGCAGAATTAATTGGCAAGAAGATTTCAAGAAGGGATGTCCCCAGTCCTGCCTATAGATGCTGAAGGTTCAACCTTGGGATCTTTGTTGTGTGAACAGCCCTGAGATCTACAGATGAAGGGCAGTGTACCAATTTAATAATTAATTAATTAATTAATTAATTAAGAATATTGTATGCAAAACATATGCTGCACCAGCCATTCAGGATGTTGATGGATTTCCTCCCATCCTCATTATTCCAAACAAATCGAAGAGCACTCTTGCCAGTTTGGTAGAGAGCATGTCTGAACCGAGTCCTAAAAATACAGCTTCCATGGTAACAAACTACCAGTGTAGAAAGGCCGGCTGAGCTACTTTTTATAATAATAATAATAATAATAATAATAATAATAATAATTTTATTGAATATTTGCTTGGTTTACAAAAGTATGTGCATTGCCTTTTTCTCTCCTCAGGTTGTACTTTATGCAGATCAATTACATTTGTTGTGGAATATTGATTTTTTAAAAAAAAATGTAGTATAAACTCAGGACAAAAGGAAGAAACATGCTAAGAGGAAGGCACACTTGGCAAACCCTTGCCGTGATCAACTCCCACCTGGAAACCTATGTCCCCACTGTGGAAGGACGTGTGGATCCAGAATTGGCCTCCACAGTCACTTACGGACTCACTGCTAAAACCCTGTTTTGGAAGACAATCTTACTCGTCTATGAGTGATCGCCAAAGAAGAAGAAGAAGAAGGGTTGGGAGAGAAGGGGTGGGGTGGTAAAACTTATATTCTTTTCCTTAGTGTATGTGTGAGGTTTTGTGTGGCTGAGCCACTTTTGAATGAATGGGTGACCTCACTGGAATATTGGTGGCTAGGTCAATATGCTTCTCAAAGAGCCAGGTGTCACATGATGTGGGGGGGAAATTAGACTGTGCTTTAAAAATATTACATACACACTAAATTCAAATGTCTATAATCTGAGCCACTTGCAGTGTGGTCCACAAATGCATCGGAAAGTTATGCATGGCCTTCACATCAGCTTTGATTAATGGTTGATGCTGCCTTCTAACTGCTCTATTTGACTGAATGGGGGGAGGGGAGAGAGAGATAAAAGTGAAAAAGCAGTAGCATATTCTGATGTGGCAATACACAAATGTTTTCATGCATCATGGCACCTTGGTAAAAGAAAGCTCTCCAAAACAGGATTTTCCTGTTGGCAAGGAGACACTATATTTGCTTAAAACAACAGTCGTATGTTTCTGCAGTATTCAACAGGTACAAACAAGGAAACATAGAAATAGAGGTGAGGGGGGGAGAGAACTATTGGGGAGGGTGGAATTATAGCCTGACATTTACAAAGATAGCTCAGAATGTTTCAGTGAGTGACAAATATAGTTGAAAGCTGCCCAGGTATTTTTACATAAACCTGATCGTTCCCATATGCTGATGTTTCCCAATACTACGATAAGCCTGTAATTCTTGCTGGGTTTTATTTAGTAACATAATAAATTACTTTCCAGCTGTCAGTAGCAGAAACTTTTACATCTTGGTTTTCTAGTGGAGTTTTTTCCCCTCTTCTTTTAAGTATCTTTGCGCTAAAGCCGCTTCATTCCATTTCTGACAGGAGTTGTAATGTTGCCAATCCTTGTATTCGTACCGAAATCATCCAAGTGGCTTATGGGATATTTTCTATGGTGGAAGTCAGTGTGGACAGTCAGAGGTGGATGAGGTTACTAACATGAGGTTTAGCTGGAGAACAAGAGTACCGTGCT